CGGGCACAAAGTGACCTGCAGCGCCTGGAAACGAGACACATTGAGTGTTTTACTGTTGTGGGAAAGAGCTGATAAATTAATGAATTATTAAAGATAAGAAAGGACTTGTTCATTACATTGCTGACAAAAGAGGTATTTTAATAATATCCAAGAGTACTATATTTAATTTTTAAAAACCCATTCATTAACCTGCTAAAATAAACCGGCAACACACGCCTTTTCCAAAAAGTTTCCCCCCCCAAAAAAATCACATTAAATCAATCACAATGTGACAGGCTCTCGTACCAGGTTTGTTTCATGCAAATGCATCATAATGATTCATTCTGCCCTAACAGACTGTGACTGTGCAAAACATCCCATAATATAATTTTGTTTTTAGTGTTTTATGTTGACAGACTCGCGCACGCAACAACCCGAACATAAAACGCCTCGGCTTCTGAAGCCCTGTTTGTCTATGGTTTAGTAACAGTAAAAGCATAAACACGTCATGAGTAACAGACCAAGAACAACCCCGCTCGCGCTGCAAGCACGCTTCATTCAAAGTAACAGGCGCTCTGCACGCGCCCCGAAAACGACAAGCCGGTTCATTTCACACACACGCAGAAGCAGCTTTTTCTTTCCACAACATACCCCAAATATAGAAGGAGAGACCCACGACCAGAAGAAATACAGCTCCAAGGTGTCCCATGTTCAACGTCCTCCACAGAAACGAGGCAGATGGCGCGCAAATATGACGCAAGAGCCGAGCCTGTCAACCTGTCAGGTCTCCGAGTTGGTACTTGTTTTCTCCGCCGTTCATACTTCGTTTCTTCGTCTAGTTCTGTTACTTTTATGGTCGTGAACTGGCTCGTGTTGAGTAGAAACTGCTGCATGTTTTGTACTTGTTTATCTTTATATCGCCGCAGGTTTTAACATGGAAATGCCTCAAACGGTCCACTTTGCTTTTCCAAGCTTCTCTGCCTTTTTCTGTATATTCAACATGTTTGATTATATTGATTATCAAACTTTAATAGAATTTGTGAAAAGGTTGATTATATAGAAAATAAAGAAATAACATATGACTCTGATTAATGTGTCTACATTATAATCAGTCCACGTCTTTGTGGACATTTACAGTATCTTCACGCAGCTGTGATATTTGTTGAGATCTCTCCTCGACGTTCACGTGAAATAACACAGAGTGCTTCCAGCTGAAATGATGACAAAATCCGTGCTGCTTGTTATGTGAAAAATCTGAAAGTTGTGGCTGAATTGGACACTGAAAATCTTCTGAATTCTCAGTGTTTCCCTGTGTGTTCACGCAGACTGCGCGCACACAAAAGACTTAGTGTCAGTTATCAATTTATTTATTTGTTTTTTGCACTGCATTAGATAAGGTCAAAGTAGGGGTTTCAAAAATGACAATGTTCTCATTTGTGTTATAATCTTTATGAAAAAGTAAAAACAAAATGTAAAAATAAAATTGATATATGGATTTGTGAATGCAATAACTCAAGAACGATTCAACGTAGAATTTTCAAATCAATACCATGGTTGCAGTTACTGAAACTCTCTGTAAGGTTTAAATCTTAGGGACCTTTACTTCAAGGCTAGAGCTCAATTTCTCTAAAAACAAAAAAACCCCCAACCAATTATTTAATAAAATCAATTTATTTCCAATTTGTATCAAATTAGGTCTGATTAAAGGACTGATGTAATGGTAAGTTGTCCGCTGCTCCGCTTTGAATATTGTTAAGAACCTGACACAGAGATTACTTAATGGATTTTAAGCAAAATTGTGCCTCAGTTCAATGACATATTTTGGCAGCTGTTTTTTTTTTTTTTTTTTGGATATTCACAAGAATTGCTAGTTCTCCTAGAGTTTTGGCCACCCCAACAATCAAGTGATTCCCTATGAGCAAGCAATTAGCGACTCTGGGAAGGAAACTTCAAAAGAACCAGGCTCAGAAAGAGACAGCATTCTGCCGCGACTGGTAGGGACGGGCCTGTGCCTTTTACCCATTTCCAGGTAATGGATTGCCGAAATGTGATTTCCAATATTTAGACTATTGCAAATGGCTCGCCTGTGTACGAGTTTTCATTTTGAGGGACATTGAGTGGTCACTTGGAGAGGATGAGCAGAGCTTCAGCTGGATGTTTAGCTCATCCCTTCTCCCACTTACTCTCACATCTGTTCAGTACACGGTTGATCAAAACAATGAGCAGAAAGAGATAAACATAATATTTTATTCACATCTTCTATTGTACAAGATACAAGCAACACTTGCTGTAGTCAGGGCAGGATGGAAACATAATGTTGACACTGCAGAGTCTTGTCTTGCTGCTCAGAGGTAGGGCTGGTCTGTGGAGATTGGTGGCTCTTTATATACAGTGCCGGGAGTCACTGGAGGCTTTGAGGTCTCAGCAACTTGACTAAAAAAAATAAATTTAAAAAAAAGGAACAACAACAGAGAAAGAAGGGGAAAAAAAGACCACAATATTTCAGCTAAAAACTACAAATAGCAAACTTCCATTGTCAGTCACAAGAAGATGTTTTGACAGGTGACATCAAATAGATGGATTACTATATTATTATGTATATGGCGCAAAAAACAAACACCTGAACTTGAAATACATGAAAATGCAGTGGTCATTAACAAACCTGCCAGCAGTAAGAGCTTTCTGTGAGGACATCACGAGTGTGGGAGGGGCTGATTCTCTCCGTCCATCTCTGCTGTAGTAGTAGTTGTTGGCATACCTGTGGCTCGGGCCTACTGGCAGTTTGGGTGGTGGTTGTGTCCTGTTGGGATGAAGGAAAAAAAATCTATTTTAACAGACTTTAACAATGTTGGTGACTTCCACATTTGCAGGCAAAATGGAAAATAGGTGCAGTTTACTGAAACGTGCAAAGATACCTGGAAATATAGAATTTAAAACAAAAACAGAGTTTTTGCTTTAAAGTCAGTATTTTGTATGACCACCTTTATTCCTCCACACATCAAGAAACTCTTAGTCAAGCTTTCTTGTCATTTCTTTATGTAGTCCTCAGGAATAGTTCTCCAGGCTTCTTGAAGCTCTGGAGAACTCTTCTTTGGATGTCGGCTGGCTTTTGTCCTGTTCTCTGTCAACATGATTCCACGCCATCTAAATAATATTGTGGTTCGGGCTTCAGGGAGGCCAATCCAAGCCTGATAGTTTTACATTGTGTGTTTTTCTAACCAGATTTGTTAATACTACATTGGTAGTGTGTTTGGGATCATTGTGAAGCTGAAAAATGAAGCTGTTGCCAGTCAGACACTGGCAGTGATGATGCTTTTTGTGCAATCATAACTCTAGCATTTTTGAGAAAATCTCAAAATACAGCCCCAAACCAGCACAAAGCTTTGATTTTTCTTTTACAGATGGCTGTAGACATTCACTGTGGTACTTCTCTCGTCCATATACATTGACAGCGATTTATACAACAAATTTGAATTCTTCGTTAGTTTTAAGTGGTTTAACAAACAAAATACAAACAAAAACAAAAAGCAAGTCTGGCAACCCACAGAGTCATTGCATCTCTCTGTTAACGGGGTTTTAGTCGTTGTTTCTAATATGTGAACACTTTCATTCGTGAGCGGTACGAGGGTAGCGCCTGTGGTCTTACCTCTTTGCAATCTCCTCATATCGCAGCTGCAGTTTGGCTTGCAGGTCATGCTGAAAAGGAAAAGGAAAGTCAATTTTCGACGAGTGCAAATCCCACACTGGTGAACTTCACCTCCTTCATAGTGTTTAGCTACCCCACAACGCTACTGCTAGCTAACGTCAGTAAGGGTTAGCTGGCTGTTAAACGTTTCCTTTGATAAAGTTTATTGCGACAAATCGTCCGGAGGGCTATTACATCATATTTAGAGCAGAAAACTACTCCGTTTTAAAGTGTGACGAATGTTGTTGCTTACCCCTGATAAAAAATTTCGCAGCCTCTGAATGAATTTAGTAGCAGTAGCCATGTTAGCTGTTGTGAAGGACACGGGTCTTCTTCATTCCTTTTCCCAGGTTTCTCAACACATTGCTGACACCTGCCGACCAGCAGGGGAAACTGCAGCGTAAAAACGTGCATTTTAGAGACTTTTGTTGTTTTACAATTTATTTATGTACTCCGAGGGCCAAATTAACTTAGATAAAGTGGATGAACACAGACACTCTGTACAACTAATCTTTATCTTCTTTAGTAAAGGCCTGGCAGAGCAGCTCATAAATTTTTTTTAAAATTACAGTATTTTGTCCAATTACTTTTGAGCCTTTAAAAAAACAGGACGTGTGTATAAAAATGACTGTAATTCCTTAACAGTTACTGCAATTTTCAAATCCCTGTATTTAAAGATGATAATCTGCATATTGATTACATCTTGATTTACAGTCCACTGTGATGGTGTACAAATCCCCAACTACAAACATTGGTGTCTTTGTTCAACAAATTATGGCCCTAACTATTGCTATGCCAGTATGGACAGTAGTAAATTTTGACCGAATTCAAGTATTACCTGCTTGAAACTGCAGAACTCCTACGGATTTTAAAGTAAAACATTTTTGTTACTAGGTTAACCTCTGGACCCTTTATCCTACAAGTGATTGGTCTATCTTGAACAGACATGCATACATTTTTATTGGTATGCATACAATACACAGCTTGATCTATTATCAGTAGGTAAAGTTGTAAAACTTATGAAAAAATTCAAAGTCCAGAATTGATGGCCTCCTTCAGATTTTCCAAAGTGATCTGTGAGCTGGATCAGAGTCCAATTCTAGACCCTGGCCCTTATGTTTGAGACACCTGCCTTAAAGGGAAGCCTTAATAACCTTCACAGTGTAATTTTGCTTCATCACATTTGTCTATTGATGAAGTATTTATATAGTGATATAGTGGAATGGTTGCTTGTAGAATTGCAACACCTATACTGATGAAAAGGATTTGAATGGTCTGATCTGGTACATCAATGTAACAATAAGGCAGATAACTGTACGCAACACTCAGAGAAGAATCAAAGGGAAATACAAAGTTTATTTGTTGCACAAGAAAACACAGTAGAGGGCGACATCGCCGGTATACCATGCAGTCAAGTATTACAGCTGTGTGCTTGTCTCATGCAGCATGCACTGGACAGAAGAGTCCACAGGAGAACAAATGCACTTGTACGACACTTTGACCTGCCAAACTTGTTCTTTAAGAGTACGCTCAACAGAGGCTGAAAAATCCCTGTGGTGGACTTCAGCAAAGCATTTTTTTAACACATACAAGGTTATTAAAAAGCAACCAAAACATTATCCCTTATCATGTTTACATATTTAAATTGGCTTTTCCTGTATGCAAAAAGAAACCTCTAATGTAAATATATATTTTATTACTCATCTTTAACACTTTTACTTTTGGTGTAAAGCATTTTTCTCATGCACATAAGAACAAATATGCATGTTTCCATCTATCCCTTTTTCCCCCCACCTCCAATTAATTAATATTTAAAGCTTCTTTTTGAAGTCTGAACAACAAGTCCCAATGATCTCGTTCTGCAGGTACATGCAAATATCGAAAATGCTTCTGAGCTTGGTGCCAAACTACTCATTAAGAACAGTGTCTTTAAAACTAAACATAAAAAAACAAACGGATATGCAGCTTCTATGAATGTCGTTTCCTTTGCGAGTATCAAAGAGGATAGTTTCATCGTGTACAGCCACAGAATATAAAATGTTTGTACAGTACACAGCATGTTTGTTCATTGTAAACAATTCTGTCAGACTGCAAAAATAACTGAGTGGTCCGTCTGTTTGCGTCACTAACACAACAACATCATCCCAAGTTTTCATCACAAGATTTAAGGTTGTTTTTTTTCCCTTCTATGGTTTTTAAGGAAGAAGAGGGGTTGAAGTAACACAACAGCTGTTTAGAAAGAGAAGACTCAGAGTAAAGTTAGTACAAAAGCCAGGAACAGCCACTTACAAAGAGGACGACAACTCTCCAAACGTCATGTCTGTTGTGGAGAAAATGTGATGTGCAGCCAGTCTGTGCAGCTGTCAAATACTGCCTGAATTTAAAAGACAGAATTCCCAAAAACTCCCTCTTGCCAGAAATTGTCTTCGTGCATATTATGTCCTTCAGTACACTTGGAATTATACACACACTCTTGTTACCAAAATATACATCAAAATTTGCACAATACAAAGACAAAAAACCAAAAACACTTGTTCAAAGAAGCCCTGATTTCACTGTAAATATGTTTATCTCAGTTTACCTTTCACATTCGGTTACAAAAAACTTATGTCTAAATGTCCTTAGTGCACTTTTCCCCTTTGGATGTAAACAGCACTGCACAGCACATGAAGTAGGACCAGGGCGTTTACGGATGGTCTCTTTCACATGCACATGTGGGAAAAAATAATGATTAAAATGGAAAAACGCTACAGCTTCTGGAAAAGGTGAAAAAACAACAACAACCCCATAACGCACTTGTACGTACTTGTGTTTGCAAAAGTCCAACACGTGTCAGAGTAAGTAAGGAAACCTGCCCAAAAAACGAAAGTCAAATAAAATGAGTGTTTTAAACGCTCCCTTCCATGTTCTGAAGTAAAACGGCGTGCTGTGAGATGAACACGCCCGATCAAAGAGTTCGACTGATAAACTCACAGCACACAGAAAGGTGGACGTGGATCATCCGGAGCTTCAGGCTCGGCGTCTTTTTCCACAATAGCAGTGGAAACGAACAAACAAAAACCCCAAACAAATCTTCCTAGTGACTGAAAATTACAAGTAACATTTCTGCCTTCAATGATATGGCTTAGAGGACATTGCACAAGATGCCATGGCACATAAAAACCCTTCGGTTCCGTATCTTCATAAGAGAAGACAAAGGTGGGTAGTGTCTCACCGCGTTTGCAACATTATTCTCAGCAAGAATAAAAAAAACAATGCCGTTCCCATGAATTCACACTGTGAGGAACATGACCAACACAACAAGCTGTGCAAGATTAAAGTACATGAAGGGATAAAGCCATCAAGGAAACATGGACCAAACATCTTCAGAGCCTCTTCTTTGATACGACCGTTTTATTAACAGTTGTTTTTCTCCCCTGCATTCTAGTTTGAGTGTAGTAGCTTCAGTTTTACTCCTTCTACAGGATGCATCAATACAAATCCATGCAGTACTGTAGCCATCAGCTGCAGAGATAGATCCAATGACGTGTCAGTCATGTTGCTCACAGTGTGAACCAGAGATCATTTTAGGTTCAGGAAGACCTACAGCAGTACTACAAACACACACAGACACTGATGAAAAAAAAAAAAAGCGACCTTGACTCCTCGTACCTTTTGGTCCAACAGTTTTACGCAGCATTAACACTTCTACTCTGTACCAGAATTTATTTAAAAAATAGACAACTTTTGTTTTTGTTTTTTTAGAAAACAATCCATTCAGAAGACATAAAACCACATTTTATGGATACAAAAATGTTGAGCCTTGGCTGGTCAACCCATGAGAACTTCTTTCTTTTCCCCTGTTACAAACGCATCATGAAATGTAATAAATAAGACCAGAAAGGTCAGCGATGCCTGAAGGCAACAGTTTTTTTTACAAAACAAAATTCAAGTAAAAGTTTCTCCCGCTCTTTCAGCCCGACAACTTTGAGAATGACTTAACATCTTCGTCACCCTTGAAAGACAAGAGCAGGTTTTAGGAGTACAACGGCGAGCTGTCACTTTCTCAGGTGCCCTTTTTGTGTTTGCTCTCTGCACTCTGGTGTCTTCTCTGGTGCAATTTTAGGACCCGTGGAAGTGGTTTCTGCTCCCTGCCTGCAGCTCATGTTGGTGAGAAGACATCCTGTTTGTTCCCGCGGAGATGCTGTGACGTCCACCTCCACCTCGGGCTTCTCACCAGAGTCCTCTCCATCTGAACACGGCTCCCACTCGTCTTGCTCCTCGCTCTCCGTAGAGCCCTGCACAGCTATCTGCGGCACAAGCGTGAACCTCCTCACCACGGGGACGTCCATCTCGATGTCCTGACTGCTTTGGGGTCGTGTCACAGTCCAGGCCGCTCTGTGCTGCGTTTGAGCCCCTGGAGGTGTGCTGCTCCCCGCCGCATTACTGCTGCTTTTCTCCTCTGGCTCGTCGAAGCTCACTTCCTGCACTGCCTCCTGCTTCTTAAAGGAGTCTCTCCGCTCTGACAGGTTCAGCTTCCGCATCACAACCAGCTGCTCTGATCGTTCAATCCTTTGGCTGCTAATGTACGGCCCAAGTCTGCTGTGGTCAACCCCAATGTAAGCGATGCCACAGGCTGCGTCCATCTCTGAGTCGCCCAGCAGGTCAGCCTCACCGTAAAACGGCACTTCCAGCGTGTGCCTGCGGGGGGCTTTTGACTTCTTGTCAGCGTGATATACTCCAGACAGTTTCTCCGCTGACTGCACCCTCTTAAGCAACGGTGAACGAGGCGGCTCTGCACTGCGTGGCCGGACGACATGCCTAACGATGGTGGGGGGAGACAGGGTTTTTCCGTGGTACGTGTGAAGGTTTTTGGCGAAGCCTGGCAGAGGAGAGGGCGAGCGCTGTGGGGAAAGCGGCTGATTAGAGGATGAGGAGCTGCTGCAGGCCAGAGGCGAGGGGGGGATGTTGCTGGTGGATTTGCGGCGGCCCACTTTGCTGTAGCGTTGCGGGCTGAGTTTAGAGCCCAGGCCGAGCGTGATGGGCCGGCTGTGTGTGGCGGGAGAGCTTGGAGAGCTGGAGCAAGGCGACGTACTCTGTGGTGAGTTATTCTCTGGAAAGTAGAGGCAGGACTGTTGAAATACTCACACTACAAGCTGCAGTTTGCAGCAGGGCAAACAACACTTTTAAATTTCAATTCTATTTCAGTTCAGTTTTATTTATGTAGCACCAAATCACAATAACAGTCACCTCAAGGTGTTTAATATTGTAAGGTAAAGACCCCACAAAAATACAGAGAAACCTCAACAATCAGACGACTGCCTATCACAAAGCACTTTGGCAACAGTGGGAAGGAAAAACCCCCTTTTAACAGGAAGGATCCTTTAGGCTGAGGGAGGGGCGGCCATCTGGGTATTATAAGACCTTCAGTGTACCTGCAGAATCTCAAATGACTACATTTCCTTAATTACCGTGGCCCTGATGGTCAGGTGCGGGGCTCCGGCAGGGTGTGGAGGGCCCCGGGGAGAGGCTGTGGGTCGGGGAGCCTGGAAGACTCTCACTGGAGGAAACAGAGTGATGAAGACCTGAGGAGAAGCTGCGACTGCAGTGCATCACTGTGCTCTGCTTGGACAGCTTCTTAAAGATGGTCCGTCGCCTAGAAGGGACGATATATAATTCACTGTTGTAGCTTACACTTGAAGGAGAGAAAGCCTCCCAGAGTAAACAGATGATGAGTAACACAGCAGAGCTGCAAAGACAGAGAGAGAGAAAAAAAAAAGAAACCCAGAACCCAGTCAGATGCTCACCTGTCATAATTATCTCTCCTCTTGCTCTTCTTGCTGCGGCGAGCCATCTTCCCTTTGTGTTTGGTCTTTCGTGCAGGACCGACTTTAATAGAAGTGTTCTCGAGCGCTATGGTCTGAAGGGCCACCTTGTTGCCGCTCTGCACGTTTCGTGAGAATGAAAGAATTTTTACAGACCTTTCAACACAGAAGCAACTTAAAAAGCAAAGTTCAAGTGCCACGCAGCTCCGAGCTGTACCTTCAGCAGCAGTTCGATCATCTCTGTGTGCACCAGGCCTTGGACAGACTCTCCGTTCACGTGGGTGATGAGGTCTCCAGTGCAGAGGCCTGCCTGGTGAGCCGGGCTGCCCTCCTCCACACTCTGTTGCGATGGTGAAGTGAGTGAGTTTCAAACTGAGCATTACATAACAACCTTTTTATATCACTACCTTCTAGTTTTGGATCACCAAAGCAAAGCAAAATATTTGGAACACGCTACAGTTTACAAACACAGGTTTCAGATCTTTGATCTGTTTTAAGGCTTGTGGTTAAAACCTACCGACACCATGTGATGCACGGTGTAGACGTCGCTGTCGCCCATGTACACACGGATGGCCTGCAGGGTGAAGCCGAACTTCTTCCCTGAGGTGTAGATGATGATTGGTGGCCTCAGGCTGCCGGGGCTGAATGACAGATCCCGGTTTGGGGACGAGTCGCGGGATGAGGGGTTGGAAGACAGTGAGCGTGGGGAGATGGGACCGGGGTGGAGGCCACTGGGTGAATCGTCTGAAACAAACACACAGTTTAGAGATAAATAGACTCATAATCTCACATTTTATGACTCAAATTAGAAGGCCAGTTTTAATTCCACAATTAGAAACAAAAACTGCTGTCTATGGATTACATGTTTAGACTATATCTGCAGAGGCTCTCTGTCAAAGCGGAGCAATAAAAACCAAACTGATTCTGCTGGATTTAAAGTAGTTATGATAACCTTCTGCACCTGTAGTGATGATGAGAGACAGGGCTGAGACAGAGGCAGACTTGGGAACCTTTCCTCCGCAGGGAACCCTCTGCCTGTCTGGCGTCTCCAGCTGGTTACCGAAGCGCCGAGGGCCTGCCGTGTCCTTAGGGGATGACTGCTTCCCGCCGGTACTGTTGCTGCGAATCCTGATCCGCCGAAGATTTGACACCACCACCTCTGCTGCGGACAGAAGGTGTTAAGTGTGAATGTTTCTGGCAGAAGCACCTGGACGTGTTATGAAGAGATGTGTTAAAATAAAAAAAAGTGGATTTACCTTCATCATCAGTGGAGAGGGCAAACCGGGGCATCGTCTCCAGGCTGTGAGTGCTGCTCATTACCAGAGGACTGGTGCTTCTGTCAGACTGGGAGGAACTGGAGGAGGCCCGGGGGCGAAGACTAAAAACAGTAAAAGCACACAAAAAAATGTTGAACTCATAGATCAGCTGATTGAGGATCTGTTTTCATGCAGACCCACAAACTCAGCCACCTGTTTATTATATTATGAATACTATGAAACGTGCAAAAATACGAAAAAGAAACAAGAATAAAGAGGAATAGCAGGTGTCCACATCTTCCGTTTACCTGGCCATGCGTCCAGACTGCCTGTGCTCAGCACTGCCATCTGCTGGGCTTGGTGAGGCTCCGAGCCCTGCCGCATCCCCGTGCTCCTCTTTGTCCTCGCTGTGGCTGCGGTCGGAGGAGAAACTCAGGTTGGACGGTGTTGCCAGGTGTTCTGTGCTGCTGTAAACCTTGATGACAAACAGGTGAAAAGGTGTCAGTTAAGATCTGACTTTTCAAATTTTTTGGCACTCTTACAGCAGATTCTTACTGCAGCGGTCTTTACCTTGCTGAAGCGATGAGACCAGGAAGCAAACTGTCGGATTTCCAAGGAAGACTCTTCGTCGTTAGTTTCGTCGTCTTCGTCAGAGGCCAAATGATGATAGCGATCCAAACGAGCTGAATATGGCAAAAAGGGAAGATGCTCTCATTTAAGAGAAAGTCAAACTTCATGGTATAATCCCGAGAAAAACTCATCACTCTGCAGTTTTATCTTAGCTCGCCCGTATTATATTCCAGCTAAATTTTACCTGCATCCCATCTCCAACACCCACAATTATGGACAACGTTTTGCTCTCACTACCATGTGAAGTCAAGATTACACAGAAAAATAAACCACAAAGACACTCAGCAGGAACTCACTGTCAAAGTAGCTGGTATCATCCTCGGCCTCCAGCTGAGGGATGAACTCTGCTTTCTGTCGGAGGAGTCCGTTCCAGTCCAGCCCCAAGAAGAAGGGGTGCTGCTTCACCTCTGAGGCTCCACCTAAAAACATTCAGTTAAACACTGGATTAGGATCAGGGTGAAACTCCTCTTGCAAACATGTTTACTTCATTCTTAGTTTCACTTTTTTTAAATTATTAAAATGTAATGTCCCCCTTGCTATAAACCTTGTTTTTCTGATTTAGCTGTACAGACCTGTATAAAAGATCCCTGCTGTAATTTATCAGCATTACCTGTTCCCAGCCGGTCCAAAGGGTTCTGCCTCAGCAGGCGGGTGATCAAATCCTGTGCATCAACAGGTAAGGCATCCTCTCCTTCAGGCCAAATGATTTCATCTGACAATCAGAGAAGATAATAAATAAAAGTACAAAATTAAATATAAATTAAAACCAAATTTACAGTCTTACAAAGACATTAAACAGCAAGTCAGAATGTTTGTGTTTGCCAAAGCATAAGCTTGCCCAGGACTGATGTGGTTAAGATTCTGAGAGTGAAGCAAAGTTGTAGACTTCTGTGCCTACGTCACTGCTTGTGTTTTCAATTCAAATAAAAGGAAAAAAACTAGTTTAACATAAAGATTTGATCTCAGTGGCTATTTTATGCTGTGATTCTATTTTTTAAACCTGATGCTCGATTTTTAAGTAGAGAATTCATTCATTTCAAGACGTACCACTGACAACTTGTCCAAAAAGCTCTTCGGGAGTGTCTCCAAAAAACGGGACGCAGCCGACCAGAAATTCATAAAGGATGATCCCCATCGCCCACCAGTCCACTGGCTTCCCATAGCCCTGTCTGAGGATCACCTCTGGGGCAATGTACTCTGGAGTCCCACACACCTGAGGAAGTAAACCAGCAAACATCAGTTTGGATCAAGTGCCTCTACAATCACTGCTGTCCAAAAGTGACAGGTGATTGATCTCTTACACCTGAAGTTGTCTCACCTGCTTGTCAACAAACTCTCTTGTGTCTTTCTCTATGTGACCTTCATACAGGTTGGTCGTCATGTTCATCAGGCCGATTTTAGAGAGACCAAAGTCAGTCAGCTTGATGTGGCCCATAGATGTAATCAACAAACTGTTGGGGGAAAGAAGACGTCAGTGTAAGCGGCGCATTTTACAATTTGTCAAGAAAATGAGGATAAGGGCTGAATTACAGAAAAATCACGACTCTACATGTGCCCGCTCACAGACCCAACTATGTCAACGGATCCTAATGAAAGCAAGAAAAGCAAGACGGAAGAGCTGAGTGAAGGTGATGTTGGAGATGTCCTTACTTGTCAGGTTTAAGATCCCGATGCACGATGCCGTAGTTGTGAAGGTACTCCAGAGCCAGGACCGTCTCAGCAAAATACATCCTGGACATTTCCACAGGCAGTGGGCCCATGTTTTTCAGCAGGTTGGCACAATCTCCACCTTAAAAGAACAGAACACCTTAAAAAACAACCAAAATCCCAGTAACAGCAGTGATCCTAACACACCAACTGTCCGAGGCAGTAATGCACAGACTCTTATTCTCAGACTCTCTGCATTGGCACTCACTGAAACCGGGTCTTGTTTAAGCTAAGCTAAAATGTTAGAGACATAAAACTGTAACAGCCCCCGCAGCCTCTCCCTTCTTTACCTTCTACATACTCCATGACCATGCAGAGGTGACGTCGTGTCTCAAACGAGCAGAACATGGAGACAACAAAGGGGTTCTCAGCAAAAGTTAGGATGTCCCGCTCCACAAACGCCTGCTGGATCTGGTTCCTCAGCACCAGGTTCTGACGGTTTATCTTTTTCATGGCAAAGCGCTGACGGGTCTCCTTGTGGCGAACCAGATACACCGCCCTGCCAAAAACCAAACAAACCTCATTAGCTCAATTACCTGGAAATGGGTAAAAGGCACAGTCACAGTGGCTCACAAAAACGTGCACAAAAAAGGTTGAAATTGAGGCAAACTGCATCAGAATAACAACAATAAAAACTACTTCCAACTAAATGTATTTTCCGCTTCCTGACACCATTTAATCTTTCATCTTAGCTTTGCGACACTTTGCAAATAAACAAAGTGTCGCAAACAAACAAACATCATTTCTAAGATGAAGCAGTGAAATGCAGTTAAACAGACTTGTGCTCTTACCCATAAGCTCCGTTACTTATGAGTTTGATGGTCTCAAAATCACTCTCAAGAGGTTTCCTTCGAGTTGGAGTCAGCGTCTGTGGGCTCTTATTCTGTGGCTGTTTACGCCCATGTGAAAAATTAAATAAGCAGACAGAAGCAATGCTGTGATTAATGCTGATTGCAGATTAAAAGCCAACTACTACTCCAAATACTAATTACACCTGCAATCTACTTAACCAAAATAACATTGATTTTAAATATTTTTGGCATCCTTTCACAATAAAAAGAGTCACCGTTTCCTGATCCTCTTTAAACACATTCAGCACAGCACGGTGGGCAGATCTGAAGAAGCGTGTGCACTTTTCATCTTTGGTAAGTGGACTGATTCTACTTTACCTGAGCACTCAGCATTAAATCATCTCCTCTCCCAGTATAAACACACTAAAATATAAATAATGGCTCCTAATAAATGTACAGCAGGGAACAGCGGCAGTGTGAACTCTTCCCTGCCACACACTGTCCAATACTGTACATTTATTAAGATCCATTATTTGAATTTTAGCATATTTCAATACTTGGTTTTTGTATTTATTCTAGTTATTTATACTGTTTTAGCTATTGTTTAATAGCACGCTGCATATACTGAGACCTAAGATGCTGTGTTTAATTTCTAACATGTCAAATGGTTGAATAAAGCTCAGCCTGAGTCTGTAATATTATTTGAACTTATTGAATTAGTCAGTTCACCTCCACAGAAGCATCTGTTTCCACTGACACTGACGCTGAGGGCGAGGGACTGGCATCATACTGTTCAAGCTGTACCATGTCTAGAAATAAAAGAAGAAGAGGCTTTAATTTGGGTTTCCAACATTTCTGCACCGATCACTTAAAAATGCAGTCTGCTCTTCATCTAAGTCAGGACTGTGTATTTGTTGCAGTATCATAAAGCATAATAATAATAATCACCTACTCGGGGCAGCATGTTACTTAACCCATGTCTGAAACAGGCTTTAAAAAAAACATCACATATGAGCCACATCACAGGCTTCGCTCGATAACTGATTAAATTTACCTTCTAACGGGTCGCGTGTGAGGCCCAGCTGGCTGATGATGTACCGCGGGATGTCGGTCTTGATTCCCTGGCCGACTTTGGCGTGGCCTTCTGCCGCTTCGAGTAGGTGGTAAAACTCTTCTGGATCAAACTCCTGTCACCAGCATCCAACAGCAGTGTAATTAATGCAGAGTGTCGGGAAACTGAAAGGCATCCAAGATGCCATTTGATTTACTACTAAAAATCCTAAACAAAGCTATGCGCAGAGCTGTCGGGGTAAGGTTGCCGACTCAGATCAGATTTGTGTTAATAAATGGCTGATTGTTGGAGATGACAAACTTGGTATTCGATTGACAAATTTAGGTAGCTTACCAGACATTCGAGGAGCCGAGCCGGTCGAGAGATTATGATGAGGATCTTTCTGACTAGCTGGGTGATGACGGTTACCTCTTCACTTTCAGAGCGCTCGTAGGCCTGGAAAACACAAGGAGCCATCAGGAGACTCAACTCAACAGATTTCCAGTTTCAGAGAGGGACTGCAGACGGTTTGGGTCTGAGCGGCAAAAACATGGCTTACATTTACGATAAAGTTTGACCAGTTATTTGTGTGAACATGAGGCGACTGTGATTAAAATGGCTTTAATTTAAAAATGTTAAAATCGCTGAACGAGCGTCTACATTTTAGTCACAACTTGATCTCTGTGCTTTTAATCCACCGTGGAGGTGCACAAAAGCAAAAACTGTGTCACTGTCATTTAATATTGAGAAACTGCATGTGCCAAAAGGATCATCAGGGATTATATGTCTAAGGGAACCCTAACTGATCCAACAGGCAAGTACAGTTTATCACTATTAGCACCATTTCATCCACCCCTGAAAAAAAAGATATAAAAAAAGAGAAATACAAGAGCACTGCTTTATGGGGAAACAGTGAAATAAAAATAAATATAAAATTCTAAGGAAGTGGATAGGGCTTTAACAAAAACATGAAAACAGACGGCGCCTGATAGAATTACATCAGAAATGACGCCGCTTCAAACGAAGAGCAATTATCAGAATAATCCGCGGTGGGTGGGCGGAGTCTTCGTGAGTCATTTTCAGTTTCTTCTATAATAACAGAGAAACACCCTGTTCTGGTGACGATACAGCAGCACAGCACACTGTGTATTTGTGATCCAGTCATATGAGAGCTAATTGAAGCTTCCTGCACGACAAGATTATTACTAATCTCAGCCACCTGTCAAATATGAGGATACAGACTCAAGAAAGTGGCCCTAAAGGAAATGTTGCTACTACACCTGTCTACCAGCATTTCTGAAACATGAGATACTCTTTCACAATCTGCCAAGCTTCCTGTGGCTGTGATCGTCATTTCTGTCTACACTTAGGTTTGTGTGGATTATATTTTAACCTTCTGGTGGTGAGTGTAGTAATGTGTAAGTTAAGAAAGACAGCAGTTACTCAAACCTTACGGTCACAGGCTTTCTCCTGCCTGCTCTAAACTCTTGTTAAAGCTTTTCTGTTGTACGTAACTGTGATACAGGCCATGTCTGTGCCTGAAATCACTGCCTAGTGCTATCCATATTTACAGCGAGTACTGCTATACCCTACAAAGTGCAGTATCCCCACAGTTCCTCGTGATCAACACTGACGAACAAAAGAACAGATCGATGAGAAGAAAAAGAAAAGTGGATTTTAAGACAAATGTACACAAAAATATTTAGCCAATAAACAGACATTATTTTTGTTACTTAACAGCTGAGCTGAAAGAGGAGGCTCTGACACAGAATCAGAGGATCAACAGTTAGCCCAGAACAGGCCTAAATGGGGGTAAATGGTAAAAGTTTTACGTATTTCCCGGAATGAAGAGGAATATCTTCATCAGATAATTAATGATGCTATCAAAAAGTGTTTTTGTTACTGTGCCCTATGACCTCCTTCTATGCCGGACAGAAATCCTACTGTCTAGCACCTGGTCAGCCCTCTCAGGATCCTTTAACTGTTCTCAGAATCAGATGTAAATGTGCTGAAGGTGCTTTCAGCTACTGTGGTCCTGTTCTTTGGAACAAGCTGCCTGCTGACCTGAGATCAATTACAACTGTGTACAAATTCAAAAACAGACTTAAAACCTTTTCATTCACCCAGCCTTACAGGTGTTGTTGCTTTGTTGTTGTTTGTTGTTTTTATTTGGTTTTCACTGCCTTAAGGTATCATTTTTATGTTTCTGTCTTCTTCTTGAATTTACATGTAATCAAATGTAATCAATAAAATTGCTACTGCTACAACACGTTTTTTTGGCAAACTGGAAAGCTCTCCGGGTGGTTCAAAAAGGTCGTCCAGGAAATCGCTTCCTTACTGCAGGAACTTCAAACACCCGCTGTCTCAGAAAAGCCCCCAAAATTTTGCATGACTCATCACACCCAAATTATAATTAGTGTAAAGTGCTCCCATCAGGCAAGATAATAAAATCAAGGACAAATAGACTAGAAAAACATTTTGTACCCCACAGCCAATAAAGCATTAAATGCAATTTAAGCATAGTTTATAATTGTTATGATGGGACCAGTGCACAATCACAAACCTGAAGAAGTCCAGATATGGGAAATAGAGAGCAGTGAATGATTATTAATAATTGTTACTAAAATAGGCTATAGTCTTTATGTTTATATCCTTGCTCTCATTCCCCTTTATTGTATCTGTAACATGCAACTTCTGCCGGTGCTGTGCTACTGGAAACTGAATTTCCCGGAGGAACACACCCGAGGGATTAATAAAGTTTCATCTAATCTCTAACCTCTAATCTAGTCCAGAGCACTGTTCAGGTGTTTCTTTCACAAAGCTACTTTTTGTGCATTGCTTCCTGTAATGTACAAGATTTTTATAACAAATTAATAAAAAATGTGTCACTTTTCAGGCAACACCGCAGCCGTGTATCCACGTGGAGGGCTGGAGCCTGCGCAGCTGTCACAGGGTGAGACGCGGGACACCCCTTGGACATGTCCCCAGTCTGTCACAGGGCCCCGTGCATATACTGCATGACAAAGACCCAGAGAAAACTTTCTGGAAAAAACTGTTGCCCTTTTTAACAAAGTGGCCTTGGCACACAAATCAAGTCGTGCGTGTGTGTGCGTAAATATATGACATTTGCTCCACTGTGCGGGAACAGACTTATCAGTTCAGCTGGAAGTACAGAGAGTTAGCCGTGCCTGCTGTCTGAAAGCACGCAGAGAAACACGGGAAGGGGTTGCTATAGAAACTAACACAACATGCATAAGACCTGTGACAAAAGTGCCTCTCAGCATCACTGAAAATTTCCACTAAGAGATCTATTGTGTGTGCCGTTGGCTATCACTGGAGAGGCATGTCTGATTGCACATTTCACCGGGGCTCGATCAATCCTCTTTCAAAACGTCATCACACCCAAATTAAAGAGTTCAGCATCAGTTCATCAGCTGCTGCTTAAAACCAGAGAGAGCATTTGGCCTGCACCGCTTCTCTCATCAGTCCTGCAAAACCTCCAGTGTAACTGGAAAGCATTCACAGGTCTTTACTTGTTCCACATTTTGTCATGTGACAGCTTTGTTCCAAAATGGATTCAGTTAATTAATGACAAAATACTGGTGGTGGCCAGTTACCCCTCAGCTTCCTAGAAGATACACCTCAGCAGTGTGGATGCCTTTCGGATGCACCCTATGTCAGATTGAGGGATTCTCACCTCGTGTAGCAGCTTGTCTAGCTTCTCCTGCAGCTCAACAAAGTAACGAGAGGTAACCAGGCCGTTCTGGGACTTATCCAGACAGTCTCTGACCAGCTCCACCAACTGGTGCTGGATGAAGCCCAACACCCCGTCAGCCAGCCGGAGGGAGCTGTCTGGAGAGTAATGTGTGACAATCTCCAACAAGCGCTCCTCCATCTGGGCTGTGGCCTGCAGGGAGCACACAAACACAGAGTTAGAACAATTAAACGAGCACTGATAATCATTTTTTAACCCCTCTCTACAGCAAATTAAAAATAATTACTCCAAATGTTGAAAAGTGGGCTTTAAAAGCTTGTTTAAAAGCATTTCTCCTTATTGAAACAAAACCAAAACCCAAAAAGGCTTCAGGACGCTCCACACAACAACAGGAGAAATGCAAAGTGTGTTTCTGGTTTGCATTCTCAACGAAGACATATTCAAAGTTACAGATATCCTGTACGTACCTTTGGAAAACGTTCTCTGTAAACATGGTTCATCATGACTATCTCATTATCGAAGGAAACACTTGATCGGCCCGGGCTACGAAAAAGCAAAACACAACAAATTAGTACATTGCAACTGATCAACACAGAAACATTTATTATTATTACTACACAGTTCTTTGCATTTCTCTTCTAAGCTATTAAATGGCGATGAAGAGTGGTTATGTCATCGAGGCCATCGCAGTTCCCTCGAAATGGCCAGCAGTCAGTTTAGTTCAATCCAACCAACACACACACGTCGGCTCTTAACTAATAGCCTGAGTGTGACTGAACGAGGGTTTTGAGGTCAGCATCAACGATACTTTTGATGTCAGCCTGCGAGACAACATTCAGGTTTGGTGGCTCTTAAGCTGCTTAAGCTCCAATCAAGGTGGATTTCACTGTCAGGTTTTGATGTTTCACTTTAAGATGCTTCCGTACCGGCAGCAGCAGAGGTTTCTTCTAGCCAAAACTGTGTGAATCATCGACATCAAATAATTAGTCACTCGCTGCAGAACCACTCCAGCATTGAGGCCAAAGGGAAGGTGTATTTTTACAGAGAAATCTTGCTTGATGAAGCTTCAAACAGAACAGATGGAGGGAAAACCTATCACTTGCAAACAGACTCCCAGTGTCTTTTTTTTTTTTTTCTTGTCATAAAAGACGCCTCTGTTTTACTGGATGGCTTCTGCCCAGCACACACTGCTGCAAAGCTCGCTGCAGTTCGCCGCATCAGACACCCACCACCCTCGACTACAGTTCAGCAGCTATGAGACGATGATCCCCGAGGCGCTCTGTTAGCTAGCACGCCCACGCGCGGCACACCATGGTGCCAGAACACAGAGCACTCAGGCACTGCACAAACAGCACGGAGCAGAGCCAACAGACAAAAGTTGTCAAAAACGCACCGCTCTGCAGTCAGATCTCCACCTGCCTGCCGGCCAACGGGCATGTGCGATCAATCGGAGGCAGCTGAGGTGCCAAAACTGGCGCTTGAAGGCGTCTTCAAATCTGACAGTCTATAAATGATACAACAGCGCTCGTGTTCTGTAGTCGCTGTCCAAAGTTAATCTGAAATGTAGGTAGTTAATCCTTTCGGACGGATTACTGCATTTAATCTGTGTGAAACATTACATGTTTTTAATTTGATGGTAGAACAAGAAACAATCTGAACAAAACAGACAGGAGGCTGCGAGAGGTTCTCCCATCTCAGTGTGGATCCTTCCGTCGGTGTCAGAAGGTCGTCTTAAAATAGTGATCCTGTCCTTACTTTACACTTTATGTTTTCAGTAACTGAATAAATAACTAAAAATGGCTACCCTAAACAAAGTTTAATTGCACGTTTTTTTAGTTTGTTCAGTTCTGTGTCAATTATCCACCTGAGGCTCCGAGACCGCGGTCGTACCACCGGCGAGGGCCGTCCGTCCTCGTCTGTTATGCTGTCTGTGCTGCGGAAGTGCTTGAAGATGAAGTGAGGCTCGTCTTGTGTCGGCTGGTAGGGAAGCTGGTGGAGACGCTCCTGGGACGAGGAGGAGGACTGCGCACACAGAAAGAAATTCATCAAATGTCTTGAAGGATGTTCAATCATCAAGGTAAACAACCCCAGAAAGTTGATTCTGTTCATCTACATGTTGCGGTTTCAGTGGGAGAAACGTTTTATCACTCAGCCAAGTGACATGCAGCTGACTGCAGGTTTCCCCAACCTTATAAACACTACATAGTGACCGAAACTGGCACCATTGACTAACAATGGGTCGTGAGGTCAGTTTCATCATCATTAATATGCAAATTGTCATGAGCTGAAGTTGCTCCCGCTGAAAACTCTGCGTTCAGATGAAAAGAATCAAGTTTCTTGGAATCCATCAAATAAGAAAAATACATCTATTTTCACATTTAATACTGAGCTTCTTTTGAGGCTGATTTAACCAAAACAACGAGCAGTATCTCTTCAGCCCTTCTGAGCTACTTGTTTTGACATTTGAATAAATGTTAAAGTATCCAAATCTTTACTTCCGACCCATCATCTTGTGCAGTGCTTCTAAAGAGTGGGAAAATATTTAAATGAACTCAAAAATGACTTAAGACTGAAAATCCCTGAGAAAGGATCTTCACCTCAACACTACAAAAGCCCAACAGCTTCCCAAACTGACAAAGATTTGCTGCTGTGTTCACGATTAGTAAGAGCAAGCTAAGCCAGCTTTACATGTTGCTATACGCAGCATCGGCCCTGTAACCACTGCGGGCTGCTTTCGCAAAAGAAGAAAAACAACTAATGTTGCAATTTGCCGGTCTGCTTTTCAGGTGGCATCACTCAACAAGGTAGGCTGCTAAGACTGAAGATCACAAACGGGTTCAGGCAAGTCGGGCAAAGCAAAGGACAACAGCAAACTGAAATTGGTTCTGCATTGTGAGCCTGACTTAAAGGATCATCGAAGGGGAAAAAATAAAATTAAAGCTAAGCTCGTCTTACTAGGCAAGCACAGGCCTACGCATGTGCTGCGTTTTGGCTTCACTCGGGTTTCAAACCCTGCTCTCCCATGAGAAGGTGCTCTTTTCCTTTGCAGTACTGTGATTTTCTGCTTGGACAATCTTTATTCTTTGTATTTTACTGGCTCTATAACAGACTGACGACCTGTCCGAGGTGTACCCTGCCTCTTGCACTATGATAGCTAAAATAGGCTCCAGGCCACCTGCAACCCTGAACTGGATACCGATGGATGGATGGATGGATGGATGGATGGATGGATGGATGGATGGATGGATGGATGGATGGATGGATGGATGGATGGATGGATGGATGGATGCACTACTTCAGTGAGAGTAACTGAATCTGGAAAGATCTGTGATATGCTATGAAACGTAAGAGTCTAGTTTCTTTTCAGACCAGCTGAAAAACAACACACTGAAAGGTTATAATTGTTTAAAAGACATAACGAATGAACTCAGTGATGTAAAATAATTCCACATAGCATCTTTCAGATCAGAATATTCCACTTATGCATTCTGATAAAATAGATCAGACACCTGTGAAGATTTGCCCTAAATCCAAATTCACAATGTATATGAATTTAGGTGACCAAAAAACCAAAAGCCTACAGAGGCATTATTATTATTTGCAGTCATCTTCCATGTCTACCGAGGCAGAGAGTAACATCTTTTCAAGCAAAATAGGGGACGGTGTCTGTTGCCGGCAATCTGTTTCATTTTGCGGTCCATGTGTCGTGAACAGAACGGGGCCAGAGGGACAGCATCTGCGAAGTCTCTTTCTAAAGCCTCAGTATAAAGAGGGCAGCGGGGGCCACTGAAGAGCCCTTTTGTCCCCACTGACCTCTGGGGCTATGCCCGGGTTGGCCCAATAAACCTCCTTATTAGAGCAGACTTTCAAAGACTTGGCAGACTGCCGCCATTACGAACTGTTCATCTGACTGCCGTCTGGTGACATCATCCAGTAAATACAATTACGGCTTTATTCTGCAATAAGACAATTCGCAGTCTTTTAAAAACATCTGGTTGAATCACTGTGACATCCTGTTGTTCAAAAATGCTGTTTAAAGCTACCAAACACTAATGTCTCAGTGTACTGTTAATGTGATGTTATGATGTTTTGTGTTTTTAATAAAGGCTGTCAAAAAAAATAAAAAGTTCCTGAAATTATTTAAATTTCCGTCCCCTCCTCTTCTCATTAATATGCATCCACGCAGACTGTGTGTGTGTGTTACTTCTTACACCGAGTTCCACAGACTTGGAGAATGACTCACTGAAGCAGACGATGGAGGAAAACAATTAGCGGTTTGTCATCATCAGTCTTGGCATTCACCGTCCCTTATTGCATAAACCAATGTGCTATTTGGGCTGAGTGAGGTGTTAGAATCGCCTGGCTGCCATGTTGTGACCGGGGGACGATGGCGCCATTTTTCCGGGTGTCTTACCGAGACAGTGGAGCTCGGCGGATTGGTTCCATAGCCAGACGAAGGGAGGGACGCCAGGGACCATCGTCGGCCCTCGGCTCTGAGGGAAGCAGACATGCACGTTACATAAGCCTCAGCGGCATAGGCATTAGTTAGCATTTCATAGCATTTCATATGTGAAACCTGTTACATAACAGACAACGGAGGTGTCCTGTGACTACATGAGCATGAAATTTATGTCTTTTTCCCTCCACATATATATATCTAAAAATATAAATGCCCATTTCTCCCTCCCTCACTTTCTCTCATCACTTGATTTCAATAATCAAGCAATAAGAATTTATGAAGGACGAATATTTTTTGTGTAAAACACACGACAGAAAAGTTTAGACATAAAGACAGGATGCAAGAATTGGAAAAGAAGCTACCTGTCCGCGCGAGCCAAGTGGCTGCGATCACGACAGCAACGGAAAGAAGGACAAGAAAAAAAAGAAAACAAGAAAGAGAAAAGCAGAGAAGTGAGTTTCAGTGAGTTTTAAGAGTCTTGCACAAATGAACCTGTGACCTCTGGCATTCGGCTGAGGGATTAGTACTGACAATGTTGCCTTCCTTGCCACTTTTCATTTGTCCAGATACAAAGAGTGGAGAGCAAACTAAATTAATTTGAGGATGTGTGTTACATAACAGGAAGAGCCCTTCACTTCAAAGCTGGAAAGAACGAACCTGCAGATTGGACTGTACAGCTGCAAAAAAGGGTGGCGGTGGGAGTATGTTTATGTTATTTGGCATTTGCACGCACAGAAATGATGCAAGGACTGCACTAAACTTTCACACAGATTGTATGGAGAATCAAGTGCAGCTGCATAGGCTGAGTGGCAAACTTCAAGAGCAGGGCTTTTCCTGCTTAGGCAGAAAGTTTTAGCCTGAGCCAAAGGAAAATCACCAGCATCAACACGCTTTAGTTTATCAAATCACACAAAAATACTGCAAAGGCGTCTGTCGTATAACGTAGCAGAAACTCATTGCCTTTTTCCCCCCTTAAGAAAAAAAAGCATACAACCCTGACAAATAGTGTTAAATAGATCGGGACAGATTTAGTAAATTAATAAAAAGCTTTGACTGCCACAAAAACAACAACAGCAGACGGATTATACTCATGAATCTCTTCTTCCACTAAAGGGTCTCATTAAATGGTGACAACAGGACAACCAGAGCTTCACGCAGTAACAAACAGAGTTCTCTTCATGGCTGTGAGTCTATTTTATTGCAGCACAGTGACGGTTAGGAATAGATATATGACACAGGATGAGATAATAAAAAAAGTATCGAACAACAATTTATTATCGGCATGAATTTAGAGTCAAGTCTAAGTTCAGCTTATCAAGATAAGTCGAGGGCCATTCCTGTGTATATGAAATTTTTTTTTAAAAAAAAGACATTAACTGACCTTTAATTTGACTGGCTTTTTATACAACAGGAGGAAATCTAAATATGTAATGAATAAATATTTACCTAGTGCCTGTTATTTTGTTGGCAAGCTATGATGTGTTCTCAGAGCAGTCCACAGCACCTGAACCTGCTTATAAGTTTTTAATGACTGTTCTCGGGTGTCTTTAAGGTACTGCCTCACTTGTCGGCTACGCACGCCTGGAGCGAGACAAGCATGTTGCCATGGGAACCGGGCTGAATGATGCGTGAGTAAGGGGGGGTACCCTCCATCTGACTTCACTCATCCTGCCGAGGAGTCTGCAGCGTTAAGGATGGTGGGGAGCGCTCCCGGCTGAGTCAGCCTCAGTCACCTTTCTGCTGTTTCCCTCTCGCTGCTTTTATGAAGACCGTGATCCTGTGTTAGCTTTTTTTTAGTCATTTTTTTAAGTGTGTACTTTTCTGATTTGGATTCACAGTAATAAATCACAAAGACGTAAGGCTAAACAATGGCCCAGGTGATTCAGAGATCAAAAAACGACTACCTAACTCAATTCAGTTTTATTTATATAGTACCAATTCAAATCAACAGCTGCCTCAGAGGACATATCGTCAGGGGAGACAATGTAAAGACCCTCAAATATTAGTAAGAAACCCCAACAACTACACGACGTGTAGTGGGAAAGAAAAGCTTTCTTTTAACAAGAAGAAAACTTTGACAGGTGGTTTCTTCTTCTTAAAAGGGGAAAACCAGACTAAAGTTGACTTGACTGATGTGCTAGCACCATTAACTTCGACCACTGTTGACCCTTGACATCATCCTCTACCAGCACAATCCCAACAACCTTCACCGTAAGAGTTGCCAGTTCCAGGAACTTCAAAAATACATCATAAAGCGATTTTAATTATATCTTTAAAAATACTCGTTGTTTTGCTGATTTTACTTTGTATACAAGTGTAATATGATGGATTTTATGGTTCAAACTTTTAATCGAATGACACAAGCTTTTTACTTTTAAGTTTCATTGCAGTATTTCTGCCACATTCAACATGTGGCTTTGTCTTAACAGCAGTGATGCTGATTAATGTCCATCATCCAACAGAATACAAGCATGATTAAAAACAGCAAGAAGGCAAACACTAAACTCCAGGGGAACAATTTTTAAGAAGCATTGCCGACATACCTTCGGGCAAATGGAAAGTTGAGGAAGGCACTGGTCGACACATTTCGTGGACTGTCTAAAGGACTGCTGGCGGCTGAAAGACATAAAAACATAAATAAATAAAAGTTAGCACTGTAATAACATACGAGAAAATGGAACGGAAAACAGATAACATCATGTCTATGCAGTAACCTATCATCAGTGCAAAACTAGCACGAATGGTCCAACATATCATTTTGATATTACTTTTTCAAATGTTGCTTCCAGTCTACTAAGGCTCTCGATTCATGGAGAAGCCTCATCCTGCTTGGCTTTGTTTGAGTCTGCAGATTTGGGTACACTAGAGACCATAGTGTGTTTACATGGGAGTGTTGAGTGCCCAATTAGAGTGCGACTGCACTCCATTATTAGCTCATCCTTAGCGTGATTGAGTTCAAAAGGAAGCACAGCTACATACTGCTGTTATGAGGATACGAACGTTATTTTTTCCTGCTGCTTCATTGCATTCAGGGGCTTTAGAGCATCTGCCGCTGATTTCGAAAGCAGGAGGGCAACATCAAGCATCTCAGTATCTCCTGTCCCTTAACTAGGTTACAATTTCATGAAAATTGCTATTTTATGGCCTTCAAACTGAGTTATCTTTGGTATTTTTCATAAATTCATCTAAAGAAATTAGAACATATTGTGTTTCTTACAAGGCAGCTCATAACAAAGTGTTAAAGATACAACTTAAAACTAGTTCTTCACTAAGTTCTCTGTTATTTGTAGACTCAACAGTGATTCTTCTTTTTTTCTTTTTTTAGAAGACAAGACGAGAATTCAACCCTGGCAAACAGCAGCCCCCATCTGTCTATCTGTGATGTTAGGCTGAAAATAATTAAGGTGGGAAGCAATACAGATGCCAGCTGGGTGAACAAATGCTGTTCTGCAGCACTTGATGTAGAAAATTAACGGTTGCAGTCAGTATTTTTCAGACTTGTAGACTAGTCGACTAGTCTGAAATACAAACAAGTGGTCGGCAGTCTTTCACGACAGAACTTAGAAAACACGCCGATATGGAACATATCGAAGAAAAATACGAGGTCATTTTAAATTTGAGCAGCAACACATCACCAAAAGTTGGGAGGGGGCCATATTTACCACTTTTGGTTGCTTTTCATTTGTGTAGGAAAGCTTAGGGACCTTTAGGGAGTTGTGTTTGTTATTTTTGGCACTGCTCACTGCTGAAGCAAATAAATGGTTGCTTAGTACTTTAAAAGATACTACTGTTTATGTTCTTTCTTGGGTGGTGCGTGAGTGGGGCCAATTTCTTGTTGCGTTCAATACACGCCTAGACTAAGAACGTAACAGTAGCATCTGCTCTTCTTTTAACAACAGTGTGAAACCGTCTGGGAACTGAGAACACCAGCTGTTGGACTTTTGGGAGAGCAATGTTGTCCAGTTCTTGTCTGATACAGGATTATGTTTGCTCAACAGTCTTGACTCTTGTTCAGTGCATTTTTCATCTCATGATGCACAAAATATTTTCCAGTGATGAAAGGTCTGGACTGCAGGCCGGTCAGTTCAGCACCCAGCTCTTGTACTATGAAAAGCAAGTGGTTGTAGGAGAAAGATGTACTCTGGATGAAAGCAAATGTTGATTTAAAACTTGTTAATACTTTTTAAGACTGATGGTGCCTTTCCATGGATTTCTAAAATAATTTCAAATTATGATTTATCACAAAACAGCTTTCCACTTTGGCCCAAACCACTTTAAATGAGCTTTGTCCCAAAGAAGACAGTGTTGTTTCTCAATCGTGTTCACATATGGCTTTGCCCATGTAGTGATTTCCATGACAGAATCATGCCTGTTTTTAAAGCAGTGCTGGCTCAGGGCCAGAAGCTCGCAGGAATCTAATATTGATTTTTTTTACCTTTGCCTTACACACAGAAATTTCTCCAGATTCTTTGACTCTTTTGACAATATTATGTACTGTAGATGATGATATTTGAAAGTCTATGTAATTTTAGGTTGAGGAACATTATTAAGAAATTCTTTCACAATTTCTAGATGCGTTTTTTGCCAAATGATGAACCTCTGCCCATCTTTGTTTCAGGGAAACTTTAAGATGCTCTTTTTATACCCAATCGTGTTACTTGCCAATTACCCTAATTAGTTACAAAATGTTCCTCCAGCTGCTTCATATTAGTACCACTCACTTTTCCAGCCTTATGTTGCTGCTGTCCCAGCTCTTTTAAAATAAGTCACTGCCATCAAATTCAAAGTAAGCTCTCATTTTTTGCCATGAAACAGTAAAATGTCTCACTCTAAAAATCTGATATTTTCTATGTTCTACTGTGTTTTTGAGAAATGCAGATCATTGCATTATGAATTTATATACATTTTACGCAGCACTTTTTTGGGATTGGGGTCGTACAACTCTGAACATCCTTCTTCTCAACGCTGGTAAGGTGAGATGGAAACAAGCAAAGCAAACGCTTCTATAGCAACAGTTCATTCTTTCATCAGTTTGACTGGCCGGTGCAGTGCCGAGATTTTGGAAAACACTGAAACAGGTCTTACCAGTTTGGAGTGAAAGTGGAGAGAGCGGCCGGGAAAGCGTAGGCGACGGCGTCCCGACACCGAGGCTCTTCCTGTTGCTGCTGCGACAGCTGGAGCACAAACAGCAAAAAGAGAAACCTCAACAGCCTGTCACAGTCAAAACATATCACTTATCTGCATCTGCCATCACAATTTATATACAAGTGTTTCTGTAGTAGTTTGAATACTAAGTGACTGCTGTATTCTGCAGATGAAAATAACCTAACATTGGCCTCAGTAGGGTAATCTGTGCCCTGCAGGTGTAGTAGCATGCTGACAAATTAGTTGCAGTGTTACGTTCATGATCAGTGAATAACAAAGCTTTATTTCTTCTCATTATGTCCTCAACAAGGTCCCTTTAAAACCTGCAACATTCTCACTTTTAAAATAATGACAGCAGCTCCACACCTTAACACAGAGCACTGTATGAAACACACTGATAATACCAGCAGCTCTTTTAACTGACGGGAAGAACGATATGGCAATGCCAGAAAATAATAACCTGTTGGTTTCCTTCAAAGTGAGCGTAATCGCTGCTGCCCTGACTTCTTCCACCTATAATTACAGGTCTGAGTCATCTGAGTCTTCCAGTGTTTCGGATTGGCTTTAAGTATGTGTGTTGAGCAGCAGCTTGTCGACACAAAAGGCTCATGACAGTGTAACTCTGAGGAGATTAAGCAGACACTTGACCTCTATCGTAGCAGACCGTTATCCTCCAAGCTGTGACGGTTGAAAAAACACAGAGTAACACCAAAACATGTCTGTTTTGTGTGCACACTGGAAGGAGAAATGGGGGTAAATGGTGCTGTGGAGATAGGACATGGATGTAGAGTGTGCAATCCTCATATAACTACGTATTATTAAACAAAACAAACATAGCGATATTCCTGAAAAACACGTCAAAATTTGTTGTCGGTGTTTACCATCTTTAGGATGTCCTTACATTATTAATTTCATTTCAGTATTTTTTTTACTGTTTCTTGCAATCGCCTGTTTGTTTTAAAGGCAGGAATTTCCATCGTTAATTAGCAAAAAAAGACCTTTTTCAGACATTGCTGCAAATCTACTGCAGGGTGCCAGCCTATCACAGGGCTAACTCACTGCGACATTCACGCTCACCATCACACCCACGCCTAATTTAGGATCATCAGCTGAGCTAACATGCGTGGCTTGTGACTGTGGTGGGAAGCTAGAGTAAAACCATGTCGACATGGGACCAACATGCTAAGACCTGCACTTTAGGTCATCTGAAGACCATTAATTTTCTGGACCCATATATCTTCAGCCTGAGGCTTAATTTTTTACTGGTTTAAACACAACCAATAAACAACACTGTGTTTGGCGATTCTTGACCAAATGGGTCTGAAAATGATCTACTGTACTGTCTTTTGTGCAAGATTAGAAAGGTGTTTAGCATTCTGTTTAGTCATATGTTGCATCTGTTCGTTTTATTAGTATTTCTCAAGATTATATGAGAGAAAGAAACTAAAGAAAGTAGATCCCTTTTTAAACAATAAGTTTCCAATATTTAAATGCTAATACTAGTAGCAATGCTGTCAGACAAGTAAATAATAAACAGAATACCAATGTATCACCACAATTCACAGGTTACTGCACAGAAAATAACAAACGTGACCTTGATCTATACCACAGTTTGATAGAAGACCCGTTTGATGATCAATTGTGACCAATGCTGTAGGAGAACTAGCAAGTCTTGAAAATTGTAGACGGACGATTGACGCCTTGCAATGAAATTAGCTCCACAGTTCTTCAGCTGAATGACCTATTATCATTTTTTTCTTTCAGCTGCTCCCTTCAGAGGTCACCACAGCGGATCATCTGCCTCCCTCTCACCCTCTTCTGTCGCATCAACCCTCTGCATGTCCTCCATCCCTACATCCATGAGCCTCCTCTGAGGTCTTCCTTTTTTCCTTCTTCCTGGCAGCTCCATCTCCAACATCCTTAGTCAAATAATTCCACTAGCCCTCCTCTGCAGATGTCCAAAACCGTCTCAACCTTGCCTCTCTGTCTGTCAACCTGAACTGTCCCTCTGATACCGATCTTCTCCATCTTTAGCTCTGCTTGTCTTCCTGTCAGTGCCACCATCTTCAAACAGTCCTCAAATTCAAATTCATACTCCAATGGATGCATTACAGAGCATCTTTGTGACCTCTACACTTCTCCATCAGCACCCTCAGAGCAAACGTGCTCTTTTTCAGCATGAAGCCATAGTGCTGCTTCTCTTCTTATCTAGCTTTAATGACTCTTTCACCATATCTTGATAGTATGGCTGATAGTGTTACTACAGTCCTGCACATCATTCTAGAAAATTGGTATCAGTACACTTCTTCTCAGTTACCCAGGCATCCTCTTGCTCTCCAAGATTGTAATTACCAGCCTGGTTAAAAATGCCACTGCCCTCTCTCCTGGACATCTGCATACCTCTACAGGTATGCCAGCTGGACATGCTTACATAACCACCTTTTCACTCTTAATCTTCCTTCACTGCTGCCCTCACTTCTCCTCACTAATCTTCTTCACTTCCTTATTCACTTGCTTTCCTCGATCTGTCCTCAATCTCTCAGTTCCTTCATTCATTAGGCCCTCTAAGTACTCCTAACTTCTCTGCACACTCCATTCACTCATTATTACATTTCCATTCCGGTCCTTTAATCACCCTAACCTGCTGCACATCCTTTCAAGCTCAATAGCTCGTGTTAACCTAATACTATTGATGAGCTAATTCTTTCTTTACTTTATTTTTTTTTTCCTCTTTCCTTTTTTAACACTTACCAAAAATACAGCATTCATAGCCCAATACAGATGAGCGTTAAGAACCACAGCTTGCGTTTTTTATGTGTTTTGTTTTTTTTTCTCTGCCCACTGGAATTTAACTCAACCAGTGAGATAATTTCCGCCTTCACAGCACCTCTGCCTTGAGACGCGTTTACGTAACTACAACTGTAATCTGCAGGCAAATGCATGACACACCAGCATGACAGATCAAGAGAGAAAACTCATGAGAGCCACAATCCAAAAAGGATGCCCTTCTGTCACCGGACTCAAGCCTGAAGGGGGGGGTGTGCACGCTGACCGCAGCCGCGGGCCCAGCTTGGTCAACAGATGTCCACCACTGTGTGTGTGTTTGAGAAGGAAAAAGGAGGGAATGCTAAATAATCCCCTAAAAGGAGGAAATTCGACATTTCAAAGTTGCTGGTCCAAGCACTCCGTTCCAAATTTATGATGCAGATAAAATGAAGCAAATACCTTCTGATGTTTTAGAGCCCACAAGATGAATTGAGGAAAAGTCACCTGATTAAATAACTTCTGGCTGCACTGATAAAAAAATCTCAATATCTAAGATGTCCAGCTCCACATTTAAAGTATTTGATAGCCAGAGGGGCTTTTTCAGACTGTGCCCGGCACGTTCTGGAGAGCATATCAATCACTAGTGATCCTGTGTGACATCCTGCACAAGGAAGTTAACAGGTGCAGACCTTATCTCCAGTCAGCCAACAATAAACACAATACATTACACCTAAATAAGACTTCCAGGCAGTCATTATAACCCTAATCCCAAATCCAACGTGCAGCACACCAAACTAAACAGGGATCCGCACATATAATTTTATTATTTAGTCTATCCACACAGCTTTATGTGCCAGCTGCAAAGTGCATCCACTGACAAACACATGCAGACCTGCTGTCATGCTACATCCAATTTCAACAAAGGAAACTGCACACCGCGCCTATTATTTTAAGCTCCTGCCTCTGAGAATATTGGCTTTATAGCAAATATTATCTGCAAACAGCTTCAGATACGATGTTTTCTTCATAACCACAAAAACAAAAGAGTAACAGAGAGCAAACACTGGATTAACGTTCAAGCGATCGGGTTGCTGCTCTGAAGCAGCAGCTAGCTCGTGTTGTTAAACGTAAACGGAGACGTTTGAGTGAGTTAGGATAGACTAATGTAATCCTATGTGGTAGCTTTTAAAGACTAAATAGCTATGTGGGCTAGTTTCAACCTCCGGTATGTCAACTTCTGATAAGTACCTCTTCGAGCGCTTCAGTAGCGACACCGAAACAAAAGGGGACTTGCTCTGGCTCGGCACCGCAGACCAGTGAATCGGATCCGACATGCTGGAGGATTTTCTTGCATAACCCCTCGTTTAAAGTTTATGCTGGTTTCAAAAAACACAAGCTCGACTTGATGTGAAATCCGCTCCCCCTCCAGCTGCTGCTGCTAATACTGCTTCTCTCCCCACCATCGTCTCTGCTTCTTCTTCGTCTTCTTCTTTTCGGCGGTTCCGTTTGTATTCAAGCCGGAGTCAAACCGCCTCGTGCCGTCCCAACATCTCCGGAGCAGCCGTTACATCCTCCGGTCTGACGGAAAGCGCTACACCCGGGACATCACGTCCTTCGCGGCTTGTCGGTTAAGCGATACCGCTGAAAACAGCCTCTCAGCCCGCGGTACTTTGTCCACACCGTGTCCGCTCGCTGCGTGTCTCTGCGCGTGAGGAAGCTGGAGACAAGTGCTGCGTTCAAGCGCCGCTCGTTACGTTCGCTACGCACTGCCGCAAAAGTCTGCTCAAGTTTTAGGGCTTTTTAACTGACTTGTGTTTTTGTCGCTTCTCTTATGTTAGCTAATTCTTACAAAACAGTTTCAAATGGACAGTGGCAATCCCCTAAAAGCCTGACAAACAGTTCTGAGTCCAGTTATATTCCCATATGCAATGGTTTAAAAATGTATGTATATTGTATTCATATTAATTTTTGTGTGCAGCACTCGATTTAACAGCTCTTTTCCATATCTCCACTCTGTTCTCATCCATAAAGTGCTTTAAAACCTGAACATTATGGCTAACAGCTGGATCTTCTAGTTTCAGTGCAGCTAGCCAAACAAGGAAGAGCCAATTGCTGCTAAAGATACAGTTAAAGTGGACAGTAAAGCCTTGATTACTTAACATGAAACTCATTGTTGGAGCCAAAGACCACACAACACACTGATTTTTAGTTTTAGTGTCTTTATTTCCCCCTGAGTTATTGGTTCTGTTAATAATTAGCTAACATAAATAAATGTAAATCTATCGGCACAAGGTGGCGTTAATCATGTTCTAAAAGGTTCAACTTTAAGCACTTAAATCCAGCTACACAAATAGTTGTTTTGGTATTTGCACAACTGATTGCTATTTCTGCCCAATAAATGTGACTGGGTATCAAAAACTGTGAGTGCACGTGGTGTAGTGTTTGATTTTAGTTTAATAGATAATCCTCAATGAGCCCCACATTCAAATATGCAACCATACTGTACCTCCTGATGAATAATACTTCATTTATGTGCGCTGTGGGTGTATATATTTGTGTGTACTGTAGTTAGGCCATTGTGGGGCAGGTATATTGTCATCAGTGTCAACAGAGCTGTCTTTCAGTTTCAGTGCTTTCACGTGTATTGGACAATAGACAACTAGAATAGAAGCAGCTTTGCCTAAACTTGGGATCTGTTAATGTCCTAATTATTCTGATTCCGTACCAATAATAACACTTCACTTTAGCCAGGAGATGCACAAAAAGATAACATAAAAGATAACATTGATGGCAATATTTTAGTGTGCACTGGATCTGACTAAGTAATTTCCCAGAGTGGAAACAAAGGTATTAATTTCAGTTATAATCAGAAACCCAGCCCCGATTTGTTGGTCCCAGTGCTGACTACAAATGAGACTTGCTGGCCTGTAAGGGGGTTTCTGTCTATCTGTCTTTGCTAAAAATGCAAATGTAATATTATTTGTAAGACTGAAAGTGTGAGTCATGTAAAGATACCAAATAAATACAACATTCCTGTAGCAGATTAATAAAATAAAGCTTTCAGTCATGCTGTTTTCTGTATGATTAATGACCCTGGGATTTTGAAACGGAGGTGGGGGAGAAGTGTTGGTTTGCCATAACTGCAGCTAAAGACTCTAACAGACGGTGCTGCAGCTCAGATTACAAAAGCAGAGCAAAGAAAAAAAACTGACACCACTGAAGACTGGGAGTACAAATCCAAACCACGCTGACTCCTACCACGCAAACGTGCTAGAAACCTGCTAAAAGCTGTTTTTCTCTACTTTCTATCTTGACTATTTATAACCTACATTAGCCTGAGACAGCCACTCTTTTCATATAGGCTTCAGATAGGTCAAAACGTAGCTTGAATTCTTTTAGTATGTATGATTATACCTCTCTGTGTGGAAGGGTTATAATCATATAACTGCGAAATTAACATAATATTGAAAAAATAGTCGCGTAAACCTGTGTGTAAACGAGACAGGACAATATGCAGATATCAACAATCCCCCTTTTAAAATCATTTAATCATAATAATTAGCAATGAACTGGAAAATGAATCTAATTTTTTTTGTTCTCCTGTTTAAAAGAGTTTATTTTTTCTGTATTTCTTTAATAACCTGGTGTACTGCCATGTAAACAATAACAACAGTGCAAGATCATTGTTACGTTTTTAAGTTTCCATAGAAAATCTTGTCCAAATAGACCAAGAATAATTAAAACGTGTAATATATAGAGAGAGCAGCCTTTATATGTTTTATGATTAGTTGTGCTGCAAACCTGCAAACTATCCTTTTATGATGTAATATGAGTAAACTTACAGATGCTGCTTGCATTCATACCTTAGGGATAATTTCCTACAAAACGTGAAAGCAGCATAAGATGTTGCTGGGGTATACCATTAGGAGCCTGGTAGAGGGAAGTTCCAGATAAACTTATTGAATAGTGGTACATTCCACTGCACAAACTACATCCAGTACTTGTGCACTTACTCTTGGCACACGCACGCACACACACACACACACACACACACATAGACACATAGACACACACAGATAGATAGATAGATAGATAGATAGATAGATAGATAGATAGATAGATAGATCTGCAACTTTTTGTTTCTCTAGTTATACTGCTGCACATCTATTTAAAGTCATCATTAGAAGTTTGCATGTACAACAGTTATTTCCCCAGTGTTTTTGTAGTTAGTTATTTTTTACCTGACCTTAAAACTTCATTATGTATAAGATTAGAAGTGTCAAGTTAGAGTCTCAGACCAACCAGGCCTAAAAATAAAACCTTCTTACACCTCTGCACATAATAATAACATTACTCTTTAAAACGTAATCTCGTCATCTCTATGACCCAAAAACTAACTGAAATCTTTCTTTTATTTTAAGCTAACTGTAACCAAGCACCTTACCTTGACAAAAAGAGGCATGTCTGTGTCTGAAGCTATCTGATAACAAAGATAGAATATTGCATATTTTCAGGCTTGGTCATTTCTGCACTTTCCATCACAGCAGCTTTAAGTGGAATTTTATAGATATTTTCAGTGAAATGACTTTGTTACCACTGACATACCATTCATGACTGTTAGTGTCTCTATGCACATTATTTCCCACACAGTCAGGCCATTTTTCATTAAAGGCTTTAACATAAAGTCATGTGAAAAACAGAGTTTTTACAGGATTCTGAGCAGTCGTGTCTAAGCATACCTTCATGTGCTGTGATAGGAATTAAAAGGGTAAGGACAACCGATCATCAGCAAATGTAAACATCACCTCTATAAAAGCAGACATTTGTCAGTTTGCCGGTCTGGAGCATTTAGGTGTGTATGGACAAAGTGCCACATTCTTCCAGGAGTGGGCGTCCAGGCAAATTCACCTCAGGGTAAGACAGTGAAATGCTCGGAAGAAGCTGCTTTCACTTGCTCCCTTACTCACAAGGGGTCACCACAGCAAATAGAATGTCTATAGGGTCATTTTCGAAAAACTCACAGCCGATCAGGTTACAGTAAGTATTTACAAGTGAAAACATTCAAGATATCTGCAAGTCTACCCAGCAAATTCACCCCAAGGTCAGACTATGCAATGCAAACTGCAAAAAACTCAAAAGCTACAACTCAAACTCTACAGGCCTTAGTTAGTGTGTTAGACGTTAAAGTCAATAACAGTGCAATTAGCAAAACACAAAACAAGTATAACGTGTTTGTGATGGTTGCCAGGAGAAAGCCTTTTCTCTATCAAAAGAACATGGCAGTACAGCTTAGGGTTTACAAAGGCATCATGTTTGGCAAAAATCAAACACAGCACATCAGCACAAACACCTCACATCAATTATCAAGCATGGTGGAGGAGGAGTGATGATGTGGGCTTGTTTTGAAGCCACAGGGCCTGGGCACATTGCAGTCATCGTATACCAAAGTATTCTAGAATCAAATGTGAGGCCATGTGGATGAGAGCTATGGCCAGAAATGGATAATTCAATGGGGCGAGCCAAGCACAGCAACAAATCTATAACAGAATGGCTGAAAAAGAAAAGAATCGAGGCGTTAACAATTTGGTTATATGCTGGCTATTTATGCACAGACCTTAAGAGAGCTACGCTAAAACGCCTGCAAACTTCAGTGAGCTGAAGCCACGCTGTAAAGAAAGGTAGACCAAAATTCCTCCACGATGATGTGAGAGACTGATGAAATCATGATTGCTTCAAGTTATTGCTGCTAAAGCTAATGAATAATTTTCACATGAAAAACTCTCTCTTTCACGTGACTCTACCAGATAGCTGGAATTTTTCGGTCCTGTTTCCAAACCTTTGGCACTTTATGTTATTTAATCTAATTTGAACTGGTTTCCAGTCAAATTTTAAATAAACTTCCATCTACCCTGACACAAAGAAACTCTGAAGTGATTTACTTTTTTTGAGTCATCAAACAGGTTTTATTGGATATACAGCTCATACCAGGTGGCTACTTAGGGTGTGGCAGCTTAACATAATTTGTTCTTGTCTGTAGTTTAGGTTTAGGATTTGGCTATGCTGCCAAAAGATTAGAATGGGTAATACTGAAAATGAATCCTACGCCAGGCAAAAGGCATGTTGTCTTCTCACATTTTTTTCCTTCAAGCCAAACTGCAGCACAATCACAGTTTCTGATCCAAGGGTTGATGTTGGGAAATAAGAAATTTGCATACAAATACTGAATCTGATGCAAGAGAATGAGCATGTGCCTGGGTGGTGAAACAAATGCAAAACGGTGTTAAAAACACGAAGCCAGCAAATATGGAGCCGGTCATGCTGTGGAATCAGACTATGTCCATGTGCAAATGAATGCATGTTTTTTTGCATCCCTAGAAAAACTGTGCTCATTTTTCAGGAGAGCAAATGAGATTCATTACTGCTCAGTGTGTGGTGTGACAGCCTAGCGGTGCTCACACATCCAGAAACATGCTGGATGCAGCCGCCTCTGTTTGCAGTGTTGCCTTCCTCCACAGCACCCAGCACCGTTGCCAAGCAACCCACTAAGACTTAGAGACAACTAATAAACGACACGTCTTCACTGGTGAAACAGAAGCACCTTCACATGCCAAAAAACAACAACAAGACAACAAAGAGCACACGACTCAACTGATATTTCTGACTTTTTCTGATCTCATTTTTTTTCTCAAATAGGAAAAGCAACAGAAAAAAACACACCCAGATTGTGTTATTGTCATGTATATAAATGAGCAAATTATGGTTTTTTTATGTCATATCGATCCAGTCAGGAATGATTTGGTGCATTTTTATGCACTATTCTGAAATAATAGTGCATAAAAGGATCAAAAGCAACCAAATAATAAGAGCTGTATTATTCTGAAATAAAAATTTAATTACACTTGCTGGCCCATGTTAACAGTAACATTAACATTACCTGTTCAGCAAATTGTCAGGGGTTTTTTTTTTCTTTGTTTTTTAATTTAATTTAAAAATGGATAGGTTTAGTCCTTAGGAAGAGTTTACGTGTGACCTGGCTCTCTTACCTCCAGGGATGAAGGGTTTGTAGGGGGCTGCAGGGGCTGCATGGGCTGCATGGGCTCAGGAGGGTGGGGCTCTGGCATGTGGGTGACAAACTGTAAGAGCAAGACATGGTCACGTGCATTAGTGAGCTGGCTCAGCAACTTGGCCCGTCAGGTGTCTGTCATCATCAGTCAGTGCTGGAGCTTTGGCGCAAGGTTAGAGGCCGATGCCCGCCTCTCTCCAGCTGACATCACCACTGGGGCTGCCAAAGCCGATGCCCATCTGATAGCGCTGTTTATTTACAGGCTCGCTGGGTGCATCCCTGGATGCATCTGATTAGCCGGCTACTGATCTCGTGTGAGCTCTTACACAACAGGAAGTCAGCAGCTGCTTGTCAACACACCAGACAGGAAATTTCAGCATCCAACACACATTTATTGAACATGTAGCGCAATCTTTAACAGTGTTAGGAGATGCCTAAGATCAGATAAATCGAGGTTTGACTTCCTGAAATCAAAAACAACAATGCACTTGTAGTTCTTGCACACCCAAACCTGCACAGCACTGTCTCTAATGAATCAGCTATTACTTCACATCTTAATGCACGGTCGAGATAAGCAGGCCGTGCTTGCTCCAAAATCTGCATCTGTCTAACACTGACATAATGCGTGAAGTAATTCTCTCTCAGATTTAAGCTCTGCCTTCGGGGTTCCACAAAGCTGCTATTGTCTCAGTTCTGCAGAAGCTTCTCAGTGCTAAACACGGCCCTGGCTACCACAGCACTAATGAACATGTTGTCATAGTAATGCAGGGCGGACGGTAGGAAAAACAACTCCTCGCACAAAGACTGATCATTCTGTAGTGCCTCCTCATAATTAAGCAACATATGCGAGTCGTTCCACTGCATTTCATTTTGGCACGTCTTCTCCTTAAGACCCTTTAAAGAAAAGCCCCGAGTGGTGCTTGAGTGAATAATCTGTCAATTCCATACTGCATTTCAATTTTATCTCCAATCTTGTCCAGAGTGGAAAACAGAGCGGAAAATCTCAGACTGACTCATTTCAGATTTTCCTAAATGTTCAGGGAGGCTCTGATATTCAGACCGGCGGTAGCTACAAATCATCAGATAACATCCATTGGCTGTCCTTAAAAACTACAATCCAATTACAACTGTGCTCAGACCTAATGGCTTCTTATTATTCCACGTTATTCATATTTTACCTCATAAGATCCAAAGTGTCACTACGACTACAAATCTGGCTAAATACTCGAAGAGCACAATTCACCATAACAAAATCTATCTGAATGCCAGGAAAGTGTTACTTTTCACATTTGCACTTCCAGTAGTGGTTTGATTCAGCGGGTGCCATCATTAAGACCCTGAGACCCTCCCTGCTTGCGAAGTGTGAAACCTCCTCTGTATCTCAGAAGCTAAGGAGTGCCTAAAAATGAAATGAAACCAACGCATGCTCAGCCGAGATGGTCCACAGAGGAGGCAGATGGATGCATGGATCAGAGGATGATGAGGATGCGAGAAGGGAGCTCCTACGCCTTATGGATCAGCATCCCAGTGGGCAGCAGCAGCAGGAACCCCCACCCCTCCCGCTCCCTAACCCCCTCCCTTTTCTCAATGCAAAAAAAAGGCTATATTCACTCAGAAGGAAGGGTGGGTGGACATAAGACTGCAGTCATGGGCTTTGATAGAGACAAAAATTACAGGTTAGCAATTGTAAGAAAAGCCAGCGTCTGTCCTGCTAAATAAAACACTGTCAGTGTGTGTTGTTCCTGTGGAAAGGCCACGATGTGATTCATGCAGGACTTGTGGACTGAGCTTTAAAAAAAGAGACAATAGAGAAGGAAAAAAACAGAAAGTCATATGAAATTAAACATTTGGTGAGATTAAAGGATTGGGAACCTGGATGAAGTCATTTCACGGACAAAATATGTCAGCGCCATCACAAGTTTAGTATTGTTTTCACTAGTTTGGCTTTACA